CCCTACCAACCCCTACCCCCCCCCCCAAAAAAAACTAAAAAAATTAAGTTTGTTTCTAAAAAATATTTTTAACTTTAAGTTTTCATTTTTTTCACCCCTACCCTCGACCTCCGTCCACCCAACTAGACCCCCAACCACACCCACCACTAGCCCCCTAGTAGCTCTCTCCTCCCCCCCCCCCCCCCAAAAAAAATATCAATATTATTTTTTTAAAAAAATTTAACTTCAAGTTTCAATTTTTCACCTCTACCCTCAAATCCCCCACCCCCACCACAAAATCTTTTAAACTTTGTTTTTTTTCAAAAAAAATCAACTTCAAAAATTACTTTCTACTCTAGTTTTAAATAAAATATATTTCTCAAAAATATTTTTCATTCAAAAACCATACACAAATATATTTTCGGAAAATATTTTCTATACACCAACCAAATATGAGAAAATAAGTCAAATATCTATTTGTTTTATAGGAAAACATTTTCCGTTATAACAAACACGGCGAAATGGTCGGGTGAATCCTTTGTACTTGTATCCGTTTGTATTTTGGACGCTCCCACTTACCCTTTTGTCATCTTGAACCCTGAACTCATCCAAACACATCATTTTAAACACAATTTTTGATGTGGCATCCTATTTGAAAGACTCCACATAGAGTGTTTGATACACAAAAAAAAATAGAGTGTGAGGCACCTTAAAAAGTCTAATTTTTACATTTAAAGACCATCTTTTCTTCTTTATTTTCACTCAACACCATGGTTGGACAAATTGGAGTTTTTATCTTGTCTTTTTTAAAAAAATTTCTCTTCACATTTCTTCTCTTTTATTTTTTCCTTCAATTTACTCATCTCTTTTTTTGTATTTATTGTATTGTATCTTTGTTGATTTGATTTTGTTGGTCTTTACCATGACAGCTCGATGTAGTCATAAATTCACAAAACCCATTTCTTATTCTTGAAGTTTCAGCAAGCTTATCAATAAAGTTTTTCATTATTCAATACCTTATAACGACAATCACAAAAAATACACACAAATCGAGGTTTTGAAAAAATAAATATGACAAGACGAAAAGAACTATGAGGAAAATATATTTGTAGCAAAAATAATAATTTTTGAGAAATCTTTAGGGGTGAGACAATATGTGGGGTGTTAAGAAGAAGAACAAGGAAAATGGTGGGTGAATCCAAAGAAAGAAGGAAAGAAGTGGAATGGGTTAAGATATTTGGTGTGGTGGAGGGAGCGATTTGGATGGGGAGGGGGGGCAGGGATGGGTTTGAAGAAGATGACTCCCCTACCATTTTTTTTGTTATTTTCATTTATTTATCTTTTAAATTTTAAT